GCAAAAACAGTTACTAACCTTCTCCAGTTGTAAAGATAGCATGCTATCTTTATAGAACCATCACAACCCACTTTGGATTAAGCATGCTATCTTTACAGATCCAATGAAACATAACATCTAAGAAAGTATAAGATGCAGAAGACATCATATTTAAAATCAACTTTATGAAAAACAAAGCAATTTTTTATACCTTTGTCTCTTACAAGCCACAATATGGAGATTATATGTACCAAAATGGGAAGTTTAAGGAAAAACAAAATGTGGAAAATCTACCATCACAAGGCTGGTTAATGATTTTCTTTCCTTTTACACATTTGTACAAGAAATTACAAAATGTTACATTGGGAAGCTGAAAGCTTATCAATCCACTTAGTTTTCAATGAAGAAACAAAGGCAAAGAGGAGTTAGCTGCTTGGTCTGGGGACACTCACCTTACGTGGTACCATTAGGACTCAATCTCAGTGTGCCAGTCCAAAGCCTGGTGTTTCTCCCTTCCCCACCTTCACAGATTGGTTCCCTTTTATGTACCTGCTGGCAACACACTCATTCTTGATAGGAAATAGGCAATTTCCACTTTCTAGTGCCTTCTAGACAGAAACAGGAATGATCCCTCACCTAATAATTTGAGCACATTAAAAAACAAGCTTCTAAGAAGATTTGGTACAACTTGCATTAGGCTTGCTGTATGTGGTGACAATGGGTTATGATAACAGCTAAGATGAAGTGTTTTTGAAAAGAAAATGGGAAGCATTTGCACAATGTTGAGGCTATTTTATTTAATTGGCCCATGGGAAGCAGATGTACAAGGACCACCCATTTAGATATTCATATTATTAAACCACTTTTCTTCCCATTGTTACATTGTTATGCATACCTTTTAATTAAGATAATCTCCATAAACTAAAGGGGTATGTCAACTAAGGTTTTTGATATTTATTCTTCAAACTTCATAGGTACATCTGCTGGAGAAAATATAAGGCTTTAAATACTGTGATTGCTAGGAAACAAAGCATTGCCATAAGGAGCCTACCTTTCTTTAAAAGGAAAACTTCAATCCTGAGAAGCGCTAAATAAAGGTTCAGATACATAATATCAAAAACTAGGCACTTCAGAATTTCTGATAAGAGCAGACCAAATCAACAAATATACTGACTCTACATCCCCATAAAATGAGCAAGTAGAACCCATAAATGAAGCAGGAAAGTTATCAGAGGGAACAGAGGCCCTGGTTATATTCCTCCCCTCCCCTTCTAGATTAGAACACTTTGGATGGGACTTGTGGCTAGATACCTATTCCCTCGCTCCCCCCCAGCCCCCCGCACCGCACCTTCCAATTTCCTGGGGTAAAAAAAAAAAATAGTTGAGACAAACAGAAACTGGTCTCTGCCCAGAATTGGCAGCTATGCTGACCTACTTCCCAGTTTTGAACCCGCTAGGCCCTCAGTTCACCATGCCACCATCCGGAGAGGAGGGACTGAGATGAGCTGCCCAGGAGACCACCTCCCTCCCCAGTGTCGGAGACCATGAATCACCCCCTCTCTCTCCCCTTGCCCATAGCTGATCTAAACCTCCACCCAGATCCTATCAATATGACTCACTACTTGAGTTTGCCCGCACTCCTCTCCTCAAGTGCGTACTGCCACTTTAATAAGTCTGCTTGCTTTGTTGAATCTCTCTGTCATGCTCTTGAATCCTTTCTTGTCTGGTGACAAGAACCTAGACACAGCCACTCAGTGAAGGCCTCCCTTGGCCTCCCCGTGAGCCCTCTGGCATCATAAGGACCACAAGAATGAGTGACAAGACAAAAGAAGCTAGAAAGACAACTGACAGCTGATAACTGACCTAACTTGAAAAAGAAGAATTCTAGACTAGCAGTGTTGAAAAAATCAAGAAGCAACCAAATTTCCACTGAGAATCAACACCACCCACCCCATAAAGACTCAGGAATTTTAGACACCAGTACCTCTGTAAGTGGAGACAATGGCAGAGCCTTAAAGGTGAACACAGGTTCAAATACTACACAAAAGCAGTTAGACACCTCGTTTCCCACTGGAATGCCTTTTGCCAACCTGCAGGAGTCTGGAAGTTTATTGTCTGGAGGGGGTAAAATGCAAGGTCTGTGGGCTGACTACAGGGCGTCAAACACTGTAGAGAGCAGGCCTACTGTGCTGCAACTAGAAAATAAAGACATGCTCACATATTAACTGCTGAGACCTTTTTTCGCCCCTTCAATTCAGAGTGCTGTCATCCAGGCTTCTATTATTATTGAAAAGGCTTCCCAAGGAGCAGTCAGAATGCTCAGAAAACCCCCCCAGAAAATATGTAAAGATACTAAATCAGTGCTTCACGCCCCACACCCAATCAACCTTTGGTGAAGCCCCAGTAACAAGTTCTAGACTTGCATAGAAAGTATCCAGTCAGGTCTTTAGTAGCTCACTTGTCAGTATGGACAGATAGTCAAAGTCACCTAAACACTTAGAAGCTTCTAAATTAGAAGCCAAAAACAAACAAGAAAAAAAATGAGTCTTTAGGGAAACAAAAATATACAAAGAGAAAAAAATTATCATTAACATCGCCAGAGAAATAAAACAGTACATCTATAAAAGACAAGCATAATATGACTTTTAAAAAGTAGGCATTCAGAGATCAAAAAATGAGCCATTAAAAATAATGCATAGAAAAGAAGACATAAAATCCCCACAGACAGTTTAAAGATAAAATTAAGGTTACCTCCCATCTATAGAGCAAAAACAGAGATGAAAAACAATGTAGAAAAAAAGTAAGAAAATTAAAGAACTAATACAGGAGAACTAATATTCACACACCAAAATACAGGCACAAAAATCATTCAATGATTCAAGGAAATTTCCAAGAACTGAAGGACACTAATCCCAAGATTGAAGAGGCCCAATAAAATTCCCAATACACTGGAATAAAATAGATTCACACCAAGATACATCCTTGTGCAATTTTAAAGTATTGATCCTAAAAGAGTTCAGGATAGAAGAGATCAAAAGTGAGAATAGCATAAGATTCTGGGACCCTAGATGCCAGAGGAAAATTAAATCTTCAGTATTCTGAGGGAAAATGAGTTCTAATCTAGAATTTTATATCCAGCCTGGTTATTATTTAAACATCAGAGGAGAATAAATATTTGCCATAAGATTTTCAAAACCTACATCTCCACCCACTATCATTTTTCACGAAGATGGATCCTGCCAAAACAAAGGAATAAATGAAGAAAGAAGGAGAACCAGGATTCAAGGAAACGGGTTCTCCAAATAAAAAGACAAAGGAAATCCCCGACATGATGGAGAAGCAGGTCCAAAAGCTCCAAATATCATTTATTCAAGGTTATAGGCTGCCCAATATACATGAGTCTAGCATAAAAAGATTTACATCTTTTTAAAATATATATATTTTATTGATTTTTTACAAAGAGGAAGGGAGAGAGATAGAGAGTTAGAAACATCGATCAGCTGCCTCCTGCACACCTCCTACTGGGGATGTGCCCGTAACCAAGGTACATGCCCTTGACTGGAATCGAACCTGGGACCTTTCGGTCCTCAGGCCAACGCTCTATCCACTGAGCCAGACCTGTCAGGGCAAGGTTTACATCTTTTTGTGGGAGGATTTAGAGATGATTTAGTGGAATGTAGATAGAAAACTAAGCAAATAAAAATAAAAAAAAACTTAGTAAATAAAATGAGGCAATTATTAATTCCAGAGAAAATAAAAAGATATGCAGGAAAGGCAAAATGATTCTAATATACTACATTGTTCAACTACAACTGTAGTTCACATAGTCATAATAATATAAACATCGAATATAGGTTATTGGTGTTTACATATCTATTGGGAAGACAGAAATTACTTTGGGGGAGGGTAATCATAAAAGGGTGTGTACATGTAAGTGAAAGAAAACTAAAACCCCAGCTTCCATAAAAATGTAGATGAAAAATCTAGATGTAGCAATATAAGCAGTATCATTTAGAAATATGAAAATAATTTAAAGTGATTACTTCTGGAAAGTAGAAATGGGGGAGGGGTGTTATGGGTTTGTTTGTTTTGCAGCAATTCTCATACAGATATTTTTCTGCACTAAACTGTGTATGTATATAAAACTTGTATTTTCAAAAACTAAATTAAAACACACCTTGTTACAACAAAGACCAACATCCTAATATTTAAGAGTGCTACACATTTTTAAATAGTTCCTGTCTATTGGAATTTCAACTTGATTTTTCTTAACCAAGGTCACATGAGATTCCTCCTGTCATGACAGAGTTCCTCCCATCTATGTAACAAATCCATTTTTGTTTGTTTATGAAGGAGCAAGGTTAACATTACTGATGCCCAAACTGATTAATTCGGACTCACTGAGCCACTCCTGCATTCTGAGAATGTGTGTCTCATTCTAGAACACCATAGCTTTTCAGACACCAAACAAATACACACAGCTACTTTTCACTAACTGTGGAGAGTGTGATAAAACTGAATATTATACCTACAAGCTCCTTATTAGTAATCACATGAACACTATTATAGATGGGCATTACAGTCAACAAACCACTTTGAGATTTCCCTAAATTTCAGACACCTTGCATCACCATTTTTCGCTCAGATTTCTGTCTCAACAGTAGTGAATGCTATAAGCAATAAGGCACCAAAATGAATCAGTATATCCATTCAACAAACATTTCTGATAGAAGTCTCCTATTCAATTTGTAAGTCTCCAAAATTTTTCATAGATAATAAAGGCACCCATCTATTGAAAAACTGATCAAATTAAAAAAGAAATACACATAATCATCAAGGCATTGATGTATGCAGAAATCTTAAGAAAAGTTCTGTCATACTCATTTAAAGGAAGCCCATCTGAGAATCCAAAATTTTCAAGAGTGAGTCACCGTGGGCCTCTAATCTACAATGTGTTCTTTCTCCCGCTTTCAAGAACACCATATGGCAAATTACGTTCTCAGGAAAAGAAACAAACTTACCTTTCACAAGCTCGGACAGTCCATGCGGCAATTATCCATAATGAGATACTAAAAACCAAGAGTACAGTTCCTGGGCATATAGTCATTAAAGTCTTCATAACAAAACGCGTATTGAAGTTTATCTTATTAAGTGCTCCAATGCTTCTAGAGGAGGCATCAGTGAAAAGTTTGCTATGTAAAAGCATGACTCTGGCAATCAGATAGAGTCTTAAGAACATTGGTATAGATAAAATAATATCCACATCAGCGGTGGTTGTGGATGGGGCATAGGAGAAGGCAAGCCGGGCCGTCCATGTGAACGTATAATTCCCAGGTATGGGATGAATAGCACACACCAGTATTTCCAAGCAGATGAAGAAAATACGCTCATAAGTCATGGCTATTCTCCAGTCATCTGCTCCATTGTCCACCATGAACAACTGAAAAAATAAAGTAGAAAATCAGCTTCAGTATGGCATGAATGGTCCACAAGTGTTAGTGCAGATTTTAAAAATACATAACAGATGACTTCTAGCAATCATGGCAAGCTAGGGGGGTATGACTTTAAATGCTAGCCAGGTACACTATTTTTAGAAAGCGGTATTGGCACGAAAGGAGAATTTCATTTTGTAAAAATTAAAAATGTGCTACCCAGGAGCTGAAAGTATTTTGGGGTCCGTGCTCCTGGCCAATCCTGTAAGGAACATCATTTTAAAATAAGGGGGCTTGCGCCTATCACAGTAAAGCACCCTCCCTTAGATGAAGTCGGATGAACTTGCCTTATGGCAAACTGTTTTCCCTTGAAGGGGTTGGATCTAAATCCTTACACGACTCTAACTACATTTTCAGTGAAATCTATTTATGGTGCCTCTGCAGTCAGTTATACCCTATAATGCAACTACACATGAGCGTTCTTATGGGAAATCTTATTCTTGGCTTCAGAGAGAAAATCACAAGAAACGACAGTCAATGTGGCAGAAGCCTTTCTTCCAGTATCCTCACCCTGCTGTATGTTCTATCTCTTGTCTTCTGCTCCCCCCTGGCCTTCCCTGGGATTATTTGTTTCCCATCTTTCTTTCTTTAATAAATATTCCTTTTTCCTATTTCTGTCATTCCTCACACCACAATGAAAGAAAATAAAAAGAAAAGAAAGAAAAAGGAGACAGATAGATGGATTAGATATATAGACAGAGGAAGAGAGAGAGAGAGAGAGAGAGAGAGAGAGAGAGAGAGAGAGAGAGAGAGAGAGAGAGAGAGATGTTTCCTGGCTCCCCTGTCAACAAGTGCATCATGCTCTAGGAGTCCATGAACAACCAGAAGCATTTGCAAATGTGTGTGGTGACATTTCTGATGGCCACAAGGACTTTGTGGGGGCCACTGGTATTTAGCATCAGGAAGCCAAGGGTGCCAACTATGCTGCAAAATTCTGGGAGTCCCACGCACCAGAAAGACCTGTTTGGCCAGAATGCCAATAGCGCTCCCCCACTAAGAAAGATGACATATTTTTTGGCTTCTGGTAAGCAGCCAGCTTAAATAGAAAGCATGAGATGAAAGCAACCCCAATAAGAACCGAGCGTTCGCAGGGAATTCAATCATAGACGTTGGCAGAGCAGGTTTCCACTGGGGCTGGATTCTATGCTCTGCTCCTCTCGGGTCAGGAAAGTACCCCCTCCCCTATGTTAGATGATTGCAAATTCCCATTCTAGGTGAAGTTTTCTGCAGCAGGTAGTCATTTCTCCTGCTGTCATTAAACACTGCCATCAGTGTTACTCTGTAAGGGCAGACATCTGCGGACAAAATTACTACTCTTCTCTAGTGTCTCAAGAAGATGGAAACTAGCAAAATCTCTCAGAAAGATATCCAAGTTTTAACAAATTAACTTATGACAACATAATGGCTATAGGTTGCCTTTATCATAACTTTTCATCTAGGGAACCTTGAAGTGTTGGATAGATGCTAATAGATAACAAAAATTATATTTTTCCAGTGTCCAGTAAAGAAGTAGATCATAAATAAAGCATCCCAGGCTGGCTATAGAAATATTCCTTTTCAATATCACTACTTTGAATATCATATCGGCATAAAGGATTTCAATAATTTATACAAAATATTGTATAGATGTAATGGCAGGAGACTTCTAAACTTCCTACCAGTGAGTAATTTACTGAGTACTGTGTAAGTCTGAAGAAATGTGATCCCCAAATCTCTTAAGATGTTTATATCCAAAATAATGTGTCCCTCAAACTAGTTCCTTTGAGAGGCTATATGTACACGTTCCAAAAATGTGGTACCCGCTCTCTTCGGAAATTGCTCATAGGTCCTGTTACAAATCACAGAAAGAAACCAGTATTGTTATTTAAATCTGTATTTCCATTTCTACTGAAAATGGTATTACCCAGTTTGATTGTCTACTTTCTTCACTGAACTTAGCTCTGAACCACTTGGCAAAAATCAAATCACTCCCAAAGGGGCTAAGAATCACCAACACTCCAGATAATCAAAAGCTGTGCTGCAGATTCTGAGCTCGATTCCAAGATGGGTTCTCAATACCATTTTGGACAACAGCAGCATGAATGCAGAATAAGTACGTTTCCAGGTAACTTAGGAAGAAACTCCAATTTAGATGTACAATTACGGGACTGGCCTTCATTCACGGTGCACTGGCTCCTCTGACCTCACTCTACTCTCTCTTTTCAGGGCCCCTTTTCATCGTCCCCTCTGCTCAGTTCCCTGACTAGGCTGGTTCTCTATTCATTCCCATCACTTCAGCCATTATCTCCCTGGCATTCTCAGCAGCCCTACCCCCTAAACCTTCTGGTGGGCCTGCCCACATAACCTCCAAACTGGGACCTGATGTCACGCTGCCTTGAGTGGACTGGGGCCACCCACATGCCCATGCCTTCAAGCTCAGCTGAACCCTCCTCCTCCTCTGTGATCTCTTCCTTGTCTCCATAGCATCTGCTCCAAACAATCAGCTTTCTTCCCAAGGGCTATCTTTGTTCCTTGTTCTCTCAGCACACCGTCTCCCCAATATCAGAAATATCCTCTATTTTATACTTCAGCTACAAACTTACTTACATCTCACCTTTCTCTTGATATTTTCCTTTTCTCTTGCTCTACCTGTCTAAGGCAATTTTACACCAAAATCTAATTCTCCTGTAGTGAGAGAAAATTTTCTTTTTTTTTTCAATTACAGTTGATATTCAGTATTAATCTGTACTAGTTTCAGATGTACAATATAGTGGTTAGACAGGCTTGTGCTTCACAGAGTGGTCCCTGATATTTTAAGTACCCACCTGGCCCCGTACATATCACAATATTATTGACTATGTTCCCTATGTTGTACTTTACATCCCCTAGGCCAGTGGTCAACAAACTGTGGCCCTTTGAGTGTGGCTCTTCCACAAAATACCACATGTGGGCGCGCACGTACAGTGCGATTGAAACTTCGTGGCCACACTCAAGGGGCCAAAGAGCCACATGTGGCTCATGAGCCGCAGTTTGCTGACCACTGCCTTAGGCTATTCTGTAACTATCAATTTGTACTTCTTAATCCCTTCACCATTTTCACACAGCCCCACAATGCCCCTCCCCTCTGGCAACCACCAGTCTGTTCTTGTATCTATGAGCTCTTTCTATTTTGTTTGTTTAGTTTCTGTCTTTTTCTCTCTTTCTTTCAGCAGACTATGAGCAAGTTCAAATCTCTACTATTCATTGGATACAGAGGATCTCAAACAATGAAGAACCTCCATTAGGTTCTTCATGTTTGGTTCTTCTATGTCTGATCTAGGCGGTATTGATTTTCTGAATTCTTTTGAAAAAAAATATTTAAATTGATTTTTAGAGAGAGAGAGAAGGGAGAGAGAGAAACATACATGTGATAGCAAAACATCATAGATAGGCTGCCTCATGCATAATATTGTAATATGTATGGGGCCAGGTGGGTACTGGAGATGGAGCCCACAACCTGGGCCTGAACCCTGATCAGGAATCAAAGGCAACCCTTCAGTGCATGGGACAATGCCCAACCAACCAAGGCACACCTGTCAGGGCCTGAATTCTCTTTTATCCCCCAAGACCCTGAAGTGGCTTTTGCCCCATCACTCTACCAAGACGACTCTTATAGAGGTTGTTAAAGACACCTTAATTATGAAGTCACTCCTTCCAGCTTTATTTTTATCTAACTTGACCTTACTCCTTCCTTCCTAAAAAAGATATCTTCTCTTAGCTTGTGTGACATATTACTTTTTCCATCTGCTGCCACTCTGAAGGCTCCATCTCAGTTTCCCTGAAAACCACCTTCTTCCTCCCCAACTAAGTGCCCCTGCTCTACTGAGATCCATCTCTGACTCCCCTCTGTACTTTCCTGAGTGATCTCTTCATGCCTTCCTTTCCCACTATCACATTCCTCCTCCTGGAAGCTACCCTCCATCCTCTAATAACCTTTTTGAAATGTGGAATTATATAATTCCATTGCTGTCAAGATTAAAACCATTCAAAGGCTCCTATTCCACAATGCAGTTGGGTTATCTCTTTAACCTCATTGCCTTTGGCTGCATTTCCCTCTGGTTGCAGATTCTGGAACACACCACCCTAATCATGTTTCTAAGTCTTTGTACATACAGTCCTATGGACTGGAACATCTTCCTACCTCAAAAATGCTTATTCCTTTCAAACAAAACTTCAAAGTCAGCTCCTTTAGGATACTGTCCAGGCCACAACCAAATCTAAAAATCCCCTCCTTTGTTCTACCAAGATCCCTGTATGTGTCTCTTATAGATGCTGTCACAGAGGACAATAAGGGTTTCTTTGTAAGTATGTTACCCCTAATCGACTGTGAGGCTCCTTGAAGACAGGAGTCATGTCCACTTAGTAGAGGTAAATGTTTATTAAAGGAACTGCCTTGCTATTTCTCATTTAATATTGAGTATCCTGATCACTGGATAGGTCCTAATGTGAATTAAATATGCTCACAGAAGGCCCTGGCCAGGTAGCTCAGTTGGTCTTCCTGATAAAACAAGGTTTCAAATTTGATCCTTTGTCAGGGCACATCCAAGGAGCAACCAATGAATGCATAATAAGTGGAACAACAAATTGATGTTTCTCTCTTTTTCTTTCTCTCTCATCAATCAACCAACCAATTAATTAATCAATCAATAAAAATGCTCATGGAAGAAAAGAATCCTAAAGCATAACACAAGTGAAATAAATATATGACATTTTTCAAATTTGTAGAGGATACATCTTACTAAATACTAAGTCACTGCAGCAGCATAATTTTGCAATTCCATAGGAAGTCCAGATAGCATTCTTCTCTAGTATCTTCCCTCCCCCCCCAAAAAAATGTACTATTACACAGTGGCTTAATACTATCAGGGATTTCATCAACACCTGAAATAATTTCACTTTTCGTTTTATTTTACCACAGTATATACATATT